GTTGAAAAGCCACACAGATTTCTTGGGTTCAGTGTGGCGCTCCAGGTTCCACCAGCCGGCGGGGAAACCTGGAAGCACCGGTGGTGGCGTCCAGTCTCCGTAGCCGGGGTCTCCTGTTAGAAGTTTCCAGTCTCCAGCTCGTATGGAGGCCTGCACAGCTGTATTCCAAATCCCATATCCTTTCTCTAGGGAGCCACTGCGGGCATGGTTATATAAAGGGTCAATATTGTGGAGGATCTCCAACCGGGGGGACTCTTTCCCTCCACTGATGGCTTCCCAAACATCATGGCCATCCACCCCCTCGGTCAGGGACTCATTTCCACCTGCTAATCCCACCAGTGTTGGGTACCAGTCAGTGATGTGCACCAGGGCTTTACTCACCCTCCTCTTCTTCCTCAACAGAGGACTGTGAACGAACCCCAGACCCCTGACACCGCCTTCCCAGTAGGTGCCTTTACGTCCTCTGAGGGGCCAGTTACTGCCGCCAGACAAAGGCTGGCCCCCGTTGTCAGTGGAGAAGATGATCACACTGTTCTGGTAGTAACCATACTTGCGGAGAGCATATGTTATATTACGTACTGCCTCATCTACAGCTGAGACCATAGCAGCATATTTCCTGCGAGCCACATTTTCCATTCCACGGTATGGGTAGATGTACTCCCGTGGAGACTGCAGGGGTGTATGAACAGCTTGGAAGGAGAGGTAGATGAACAGCGGCTGGGACTGAGGATCGTGGGTCGCCAGGATCTTGCGGACTCTCTGCGTGTAGAGGTGTGTAGAGTATTTGCCCCTCTGACCCCAGGCGACCGACTCCCCCTCGTGCAGGTCGAAACCACACCTCCCGGGGCCGTCACAGGAGTCGTAGGTGTAGTAGTTTACACTGCCTGTTAAGGAGCCAAAGTATGTGTCAAAGCCTCGGCGAGTAGGCAGGCACTCCTTCTTGTAGAAGCCCAGGTGCCACTTGCCGACCATGTGGGTGGAGTAGCCGAGCTCCTGCAGTCTCTGGGGGAGGGTGACCTGGTCGAAGGGCAGGCAGTTGGGCTGGCGGGGCCGGATGATGGAGTGCTGCAGGCCAGTGTGGATTTGGTACCTGTAGGGTTTAAATATTAAGAAAACTGTCAGAGGGACTAATGTGTTAACACTCAGAAGGATGGGACAGTAAGTAAGAGTAAAGGGTAAGGACAAATTATTTCAAATAAACAATTGAATGAATCATGATTCTCAGATCTAATATTGGATTGATGCTGTAAAGATGTTTAAGTATTTCTGCGCTATCAGAGAAAATAATTGTATTTTGCACAATAATAAAAGATAATAGTAATAATAAGAGTAATAATAATAATAAGTAAATATGATGCTATTTTATGGCTTTGCAGTTATGCAGGTTTCAAGTTAAAAAAATCTAGCAGCTTTGCAATAAAGATATTTCTGTGTGAAAAAGGGTATTTCCCCTGCAGATGATTAGATTTTATTGAAAAACTGTTCCTAACAGACAACCACAAGCAACCAGTCTCTTGAAGACAAAGTCTGTACCTGCCGGTGATGAGCTGGCTGCGGGACGGGGTGCAGATGGGCTGGATGTAATAGTTCTCCAGCTTCACTCCGTCTGCAGCCAGTTTATCCAGCGCCGGGGTCCTGATGTCAGAGCTGTGGTAGCCGATGTCGTTAAACCCCTGATCGTCCGTCATGATGAAAATTATGTGAGGAGGCTGAGGGACAGGTGAGCTCTCGACAAAAGTGTGGTTGGTCTCGTTTTCCACCTGGTTAGGACCAATCATGTCCCAGGTAAGATACCCGAGACTGAGCAGGCTCATCATGGAGAACCCGGTCAGAGCTGTCGTTGCCATGGTTCCTTTATTTCAGTCAAAGTAGTAATGTAAAGTATGTTGTCAGCAAATCATTGTGCAGTAATGCTGAGGGGACAGTTTCATCAAGTAATCCTCTGGTCCAGCTGTCTGTAGAGTAGTTGCCACTGAAAGAAAAGCTAATCCTCCATCTCTACTGACTCTCCAAATGCTGTTTCAGACTCCTTTGAAACATTTCTCTCTCCTTAGTGGTCCCATTAACCCCGCCCTTTGCCTCGCTGCTTCACTGAAATAACATCAGCCCCTTTACCACCCAAAACACAGTCCTGGTGTTAATACTGACTTAGAACTATATCTCTTGTGGTATCAAGGCAGTAGACGTTTGTACTACAGTGATCAAATAAATATATTTTTCAGAAAAATATATTTATTTGATCACTGTAGTACAAATGTTCACATTTGTTATGGCAGTTTCAAACATGAAGGCAGAAAACCCCATTACTACCTTCTCTTCATTCAAAGCATGTTATAGTATTTGACTTAAATGAACCACACTGCCAACTCTACACATCACTAGAAAGCAAGAAAAAAAACATTGCCATCCGACCTGGTTTAGCAGTGGATGAAAGAGACTCCACAGAAACACCCTCGCTCAGAAAACCCCGGAGTAAGGGGGAGATTGAGGTCTCTGCACTCACAGGGGCCCTACAGACACAATCACTGACACTGTTCCTCACTGCACTCGCAAACACTCACTCACTATTCCTGCTGTTTTATGAGTGCTGCAGAACTGAGGAAGGAGACAGAGCAGGCTTCCTAAACTCTGATAACTTCTCCAACCAAACAGGCCTCAAAGAAACACTTTACAAATCATCCAGCGGGTCAACAGAAAGCAGCAGGACTGCACAGCCTCGCCCCTCCTGTGTGAACGTATTGCCCCAAAGCACGCTGATAGATCGGCTGCAGATTAACTTAGACTGGGAAACATTTTGGGGAGCTGGGGATCAAATTATTAACAACATATTAATAGTAACTAGAAAAAAGGACATAAATCAAGAAAATACCATTTGCTTTCTAAGCAGTCATCATACGTTTTTTATGGAGGTGGCCAGATAGGGCCATAGTCTATCTTCGGGTTGCATATCAAAAATGTCATAAGGTTACTGGATTCTTAGGAATTATATTTTGCTTTGTACAATAGAGTTAGGGAATCACATACTGATACTTTGGTTATTTTGCAGTTAATGTTACTGATAACCTGATTCATACAAGTAGTTCACATTTTGAGTTCCACAAAAATGCTGTTTTGATGTGTTATGTAACACTGAAAAAAGTGAAACGTTGACTTTAATTAAATTATGTCAACAAATTTCACATAACTGTATTAGGTTAGTTTAAAGCAATAATATTAAGTCGAAACAAATATTGTTTATTGAAACTTAATATTGTTGCTTTCAATTAACGTAATGTAAATTTTCTGGCTGAAATGGTGTAGCCTGTCATGATTGAAGAGGCCAAAATATTTTACTCTTCTGTACTTCACATTTACAAAAATATTTGTCAGAATATCCTTTTCACTTTAAAATCTAAAACTGTTGAGTGACTTAAGGTCGTTGAGGTGAAAGATGATCTCAAATGAGTTCTGTCACAACCTGAAGTTGGTCAACACACTCAAGGTAAAACATCACACCTTGCAAATATTGGTATAGGTAAGAGGAAGTATGAGCCTCCCATAAAGGGCATGGTGCTGCAGCCGGGCGGCCGGGGTGGGGGGGGGGTTGCCCGGCAGTGGCAGTGGCAGCAGCAAAGGCCTCTTTGGAGCAGAGCCAGTCTATGAGCAGAGCCTCTGAGTTTAAGGCAGGTCAAGCTTGGAAAGAGAGAAACAAAATGAGTGAGGTGCACCTGAAGTTTTACATTCTTGTATTTATTTATGTAGTTTTCCTAGAAGGAGTGGCTTGGTAATGATGTGTTTTGCAAAAATTCCCCCAAAAAACAGAGAGTTGTGCATCACACTGAGAGGCTATTGATCCTGGTTCACAAAACAAGGAGGACAGATATAATAATAATAGCTTGGATTTATATAGCGCCTTTCATGAGACCCAAGGTCGCTTAACAAAGAAGACCAAGATATGTGTGATGTATGTTGCCGGAAAAGTAACCGTCTCATGCTTATGGCAGCCACATTGACAAAATGTGACTCATTTGTTTTCTGTTGGTCATAGGCTCACTCAACAACACACTCTACTCACAGTAACCAACACTACACAACCCCAAAGGAAACACCTATACTGACACATATCAACTCACACTGCCAACAAGCAGGTGCATACAAAGTCATCACACTCAAAAGTCTGGAAAGATGTTGATATACTGAAACCGCAGATGTATTACGGTTTAAATTTGTTAATCCCTTTTTGAACTGTCATAGTACCAAAATAAAGAATTCAACCATTAACCAAGACATTTTTGAAGACCGTATTAATAGAAACAGTTAGCTTACAATAGACCACGATAATTTACACTTACATCCTGAACAAACACCATTTTGGTTTCTGGGCGTTATTTTCAGTTATTTGTTTGTCATAACTTTTCTTGGGCTGCAACTCAATTTCAAAATGAGCTAAGAATAAACAGAAAAATCATTTATTGGCATTCTTGTAAAACCCAGCTGTCTGATTCCAGTAATAGCACTCTTCCACACACAGTAAGCACTCGGTAAAAGAAGGTCACTCTTAATGAACCAGACATGCTGACACGCTGTTGCCCAGTTGTGACCCAGTGGGAAAAAAAAGGTAGTCAGACTCTTCATCATTCGTTCTTTTCATCTATTCATCTGCTTGATCCCCGTCTCCTGCTTTACTCAATGACATATCAAAAGGAGCTTTGAAGAGTGATGTTCTATGTGAGAAAACTTTAAAAAATGGATTTGATTGAAATAAGGCAACTTCAGATAGTCGCTGAAATGGATTTAATGTGCCTTGAGTACCTGTGGTGGGTTGTTGATTGAGCATTACCCTCATCATTTTCCATTTCGTTCCATAGGATGTTCACATTTCAACAATGCTTCCTTTTCTGTCCTTATTAATTGAAAGAAGATAATAAGAAGCCTGATCATTCATTCAGAAAAAAATCATACCTTCAGGAATGTCACAAGGCACCAGTAGCTTTCAAAATTATTCACATTTGATTTTGTTTCCAGCTGTCAAACCAAATCTAAGTTTAGCCGTGGGTACACTTATCTTCAACTACTAGGTCCAAGCAACTTACAATCTCAAACATACAAGCCAAGCCAAAAAACATCTTCTTCTCACTTGCACATGACTTTTAGACCAGGTTCAAAGCGTTTTTCTGGGAAACTGTGAAAAACAATAATGAGTTGAAAGGGAAGCAGAGGCTGCTGCTCTGTGTCGGACAGCGCTAGATGTTGGCTTTGGCGAGAGGAAGAGGTGCTGTTACTGAATATGGCTGCTCCCCTTCACCATGAACACTACCCTCTTTCTAATCAAAGCAGCCCTGCCAGTAAACTACTCCCCCTCTTCCCCAATTTTCTAATCTGAGCAAGACTAGTTGGAGGTTTTCTTTCTTCCTGTGCGCCAGCCCAAAGCCAAAACCTTTACTTCAATGGGACTGTATTCAATATGTCGCACCTCGTGATACAAAAGAACCTTTGTTTTGCTCCACACCTCGTTTTTTCACCTGTAATAATGTTTTTTAATGATCAAGTCATCAGCAAGGAAGTCTATCACTATTGCTTTCTTTGGATAATCTTCAGGTAACATGAGGGGAAAGTGCCAAACAAAATATGTTCTTTCAGCTTTATTGTCAAATGAACCACTTTTTGAAGAAAATAAACTGCATTTGAAATATTGTTATTTATGTTGTGTAAGTAAGTGTATGAGAATTGGTCAATTACGTTTTAGGGTAGCTAACACTGGCTTTGGCTATCTCGTCACCACCACTTGTTACTGATCAATATATTTTAATAACAGATAAATTAAGCAGCAACTAGTCCCAGTTGTTCAGGTTCGTATTTAGGTGTGGTTAGCAACTGTGGTTTATGGTTTACAGAGTGTCAGCTTCAGAAGCCACATCCTGTAGAATCAGTAGAGCTGCAGTGCATTAAAGGAATCAGTATGTATAGTCATTTGTATAAGTTGCACTGAGTGGTATTCAGCTTACATCTCTTCTTTCTTTCTGCAATAGTTTAACACTGTTTACACATAGTTCCGTGACAGCTGAGACCTCATGAGGAGCGCTGGCCTCAGCCCCAGACTGAAGGTGTGTTTGATTTGGCTCCTGCGGATCTGCAGCAGCACCTGGGCAGGAAGGCCAGACACAACACTTCATTATGACCCTCCGGTAAAACCACCTGGAAGGACATCTGAAAGGGAATCTTTTTTTAATCTAATTAACCCATCAGTCATAATCCATGTGCATATATATATATATATAAATGCATCTCAACATTTTTTACTTGAATGGTTTTACGACTGTTTATAGAGTCAGATTACGACACATTAAAGATATGCAGTAATAACAAAACTCCCCGGGTGTAGTTGTAGGTAATTACCTGCAGAGTGAGTGCAGAAGTTAGCTGCTAAACATGTGGAATGTGTAAAGTAGACTTTTTTCCTGTGAAACAGAGTGCCATTTACTAGGTTTACTTGTACAAATATTTGTACTGCAACCTGTCATCAAAGCCAAGGGAAAGTCAAGGATGCAAAGACAATCAACCTCCTCTGACTCTCCGATAGATGCCTCTCACTCTTAAAAATGATATTCAACACGTTTCAGTTATTTGTCCAATAGATTGTGACTTGTAGAGGAAAAGTGGGCTGAGAAAATATTACATTTCCCATTTTACAAATTGTTATTCTCCCATAAAACCTTGGTGGTCTGTCCCATCAAAAAGAATGGGAGCTGAGTCAGCCCATACCAAGCCGCGTCTGCCCAACCTGTGTGTGTGTGTGTGTGTGTGTGTGTGTGTGTGTGTGTGTGTGTGTGTGTGTGTGTGTGCGGGGGGGTGAGATGAGATGGTGAAA